TTTTATGATGTGCAGCATCAAGCATCTTGTATAGCGTGTGCAAGTTTCAAGTTACTACCTGCTCGGGATTGGCAGTTATGATTTTTTGAAGCCTCGTAAGATACTTTTGAAGATCCAGTGCTTTAAGTGAACGGTTCTGGCCTCCACACTGGGCAGATTTAGTTCATTTAGAGTAATTTTGAAGCGTTACCTGAACATGCAATAAGCCTTGAAGTTGCACCGTTCAGCCATAGCGCCGCTCACAATGGTAGTAGCAGTGGTGGCGAAGGAAAGCTGGAACAGAAATGCAGCAAAAATGGCACCCTTCAGGGGATTATCCGCAGACGGGTCGATGCAAAAATCGCCCAAGGCAATAAATCCGTTGTTGAATTCGCTCCTGCCAAAGGACACGGCAAAGCCGAATATCCAGTATGTTAATCCTGCAAAGGCCATGTAGAAACGGTCTCGAGCACCTGATGGTACTGCTTACCTCCCAGTACAATATCGACGACATTTTTCATCATGATGTTAACTTCGTTTTTGATTGAAACGCATCCAGATTCCAGCATGCCAAATCCTGCAAAGTGCAAGTGGTTTGTTGAGCCTACTTGAAGAGTGACAAGACGACCTCCAGCGTTCCATCACTCACCTGTTTGCATAGTAAAAATCATAAAAGCACTGGTGATGATCCAGTTGCTGTCCTCTACAGTGATATTGTAGAGCCATGGAACGGTTGCATTGGTCCTTGTAGCTGACATTGCTGATCCAAATTGGACGGTTTTCAGCCGTTCCTCTACATGTAGGCGAGCGAACAGCTTAATCAGTCACCTACTTAAATAGTCAAAGGGAAATTGCTGTGATTGTCCGTCATTATTCAAGGGCTTGGTGAATAAGTAAAGCGATCGAGTAGGAGACACGATTTTTCAGCTAATGATGGAGAAATTGCTGTGGAACCTTGCTTTCATGGGAAACATTGAGAAACACAAGCTTTGATTGGGGTTTCCATTAGTTCTTGTCTCAGTCATGCAATGGATGGAAAAATGGAGAGTATTTCAATATACAGGGTGCTCCTCAGTGAGGGTAGCAACGGAACATTGTAGGAACCCTCCCTGTTTAAAAACCGAGTTAATAAAATCGGGCTCTTGGGTGATTTAAGTGAAATTATGAGCTATTTAAGGGCACAGCCTCTTGTATAAGATGTGTGAATTTCCTGCTGCGACCCGCGTTGGATTGGAAGATATGATTTTTTTAAAGTGGGCGTGCAATTGAGGAGACATGCTAATTTTTAGCCTATTTTATATAAGTCGCACGGTTGCCAAATATCTAAATCTGGCCGGGTCTAAATGAAATTTTTACACTGCATTTTTAGCATCAAGTCTCCTGTATAGGGTGTGCAAGTTTCCAGTTACTACTGGCTCTGGATTGGATGTAATGATTTTTTAAAGTCGGGCAGGCATTTGATCAAAATTGTTAATTTTTGGTCCGTCATTCACAATGTTGTAAAACATCAGGATCTTATATGTTGCAAGAGAAGAGAGAGCGTTTTAAGCTCAAAGTGTTGTGTAGAAGGTGTGTGAATTTCCAGTTGCTGCCTGCCCTGGATTGAAAGTTAAGAATTTTTGAAGCGGGTGTGCAGTTGCGTAAACTTGCTCTATTTCTTCCTGTAAGTGAAAAAGTTGCCAAAACTCCAAATCTAGTCCGATTTGAATGATATTTTTATGATGTGTAGCATCAAGCGTCTTATATAGGGTGTGCAAGTTTCAAGTTACTACCTGTTCAGGATTGGCAGTTACGATTTTTTAAAGGAGGGCATGCAGTTGGACTAACATTTAAATTTCTGGTTCGTCATTCTCAAGGTTGTGAAAATCAGAATCTTGTGTTGATGTAAGAGAAATTGTGAGCGTTGTAAGGGCCAGGGGTCTTCTAAAAGGTGTGTGAATTTCCAGTTGCTGCCTGCCCTGCATTGAAAGTTAAGAATTTTTGAAAGCGGGTGTGCAGTTGCGCGAACTTGCTCTATTTCTTCCTGTAAGTGAAAAAGT